CAGGAGGGGCCTGACGTGTTGGTGTTAATTAAATATCTGTCCCTGGCGAGGGATAGTGTTTCAAGCATGTTCTCCTCTGTTGAGCAATGTCACCCAGTGCCAGGGAGGACAAAAGACCAGGGCAATTACAGTGTGACTCTGTGTCCCAGGACAACGAGGCTATGGCAGCACCCAAAGTGTCGTTTTGGGGCTTTTGCAGCCCAGCCCGGGTGCTGAGGGGTGGGCAGCTGGTGGGCATCACCCTGCACTTGGCCTGGGAACCCAGGGGCTTTCCTCCTCCTGGGCTGTGGTCAGTGCCCCGAGGGAAGGAGCTGCCGGCAGCCCGAGCAACCATCACCTTTAAATCTTTGTACCAGGCCCTCATGGCCAGGGGCCTGTCCTGGTAAATAATTCACTGTGCCCTCAGTGAGAGTTTTACTCGACTAATTTTGTTTCCATAGAAACTCGACCGGTCTCGCTTCGCCACGGAGCCCTCGGGCGAATCAATGGGATGTGGTGGGTTGTTTTTTTCCCTTTGCACGCTGAGTGAGGGCCCTTAAACCCTGGCAGAGGAGAGCAGCAGCCCAGGTGCTGGTGGCTGGTGGCACTGGGTGCTGCCTTCACCTGCCCTGGCCCTGCTCTGTGCTGCCCATCCCTGCCTGTCCCTACCTGGCTGCCCAGCTTCCCGGGATGACCAGGACTGGATCCCGCTCTGCAGGGCATCAGCCCAGTCTTATCCCAGTCCATTCCAGTCAATTCCCAGTATGTTCCTGCTATGCAAAGAGCTGGAGGGAAAGGGGCTGCCTCTGCTCAGGCTCCTTCGCCGTTTTTTCCCCTCCTGTGCTTTAATTTCTTTGACCCTTGACATAAAATGGCAAATTAGCATTTGTGAATCAGCCACCCTAATTAGCCAGGGAGCAGGGCTGGCCCTGCCCCCAGCCTGGGCTCACTTTCCCCTGCTGGGTGTTTGCTGACAAATCTAACCCAGAATTGCCCAGAGGTGGCTCCTCCACTCACCCTGACCCAGGTCCAGCCCCGGGACAGCCACACACCTTTGTCTCTGCAGGAATTTTTCTTTCTTTTTATTCTCCTTCCCCATGGCTTCCTGGTGCTTTTGTGCCAAGTTGGGAGCACGAAGGGAGAAGAAAGGATAAGTGGTTGTAGAAGGCTTTGTGTGACATATGGCACCAGGGCTTTGCATGGCAGCTGTGGCTGGCACCAGGGGGGATGCCAGTGGGCACGGGGGTGCCCGGGCTTCCCTCCTGCCTGGAGCTGGGTGGGTAAACTGAGGCAGGGGGCACTGGCTCCTCACAGCCATCTCAGACAAGCTCCAGGCTGATTTTTCATCTGGCACACGTGTGTTTTGATGTCAGCAGTGAATGTGGGAGCAGGAGAGGTTCAGCCACCTCACGGAATAGTCTTATATCAGCCTCTGCTCTGGGCAACCTCTTGCATCTAATTTATGACACACTGATACAAGATAGAGTTGAACAGAGATGCAGTTAAACCATACAAAGGATGTGGGGTTACTTTAATCACTCACACTTACTTGACCTATTTTTTTTTTTTTTTTCTTTTTCCTTTTTAATCCCTTCCTGGAAACCTGATTTCATGTTTGAATTCCCTCAACTATTTTAGGAATGTCGTCCTACCAAGATCAAATTACCTTCAGTGAAACCAGTGCACGGCAGCCTTGCAAGGCAGGCGACTTTTTGATTAAGATCTAGTGCTACCTCATTAATATAGGCTTAGTTGGGGGGGTGGGGGGAGGACACTGTAATTCGGGCATGGAAAATGTGTGAAAGCTGGGGATTAGTGTGGCAGTGCCAAAGGGCAGGGGGTGGCTCTGCCCTCCTTGGCACAGAGGGCTGGGGACACCCCAGCATGGCAGTGCTGGGACCCCCAGGGCTGGGCAGCCCCCCTGCAGATCCAGCAGCAGCAGCGGGAAGGTGGGTGCTATGGGTGCTGCTCCAGGGGGGGAAAGGTGTCCAAGTGGGGTCCTCTGAGTCTTGTTTGGGTGTGGATGATTTAGGAGCTGGCTGGTGCTGCGGAGGGGGGGCATCTGGTCAGCTATAAGGGGCCTGGGTAAATCTGTGGCATGTCTGGCATGAGCGATGTGTGTCCCAGGCCAGCAGCAGCCCCCCCCTGCTCTGTTGTGGCTGGTGTGGGGGGGGGGGGGGCGGGTCC